ACTTTGACATAGTCCACTATTATAATGCCTCAGTTCCACTTAAATATTGTAATTATACATATGAAGAATCTGAACTTTTAAAATACAGCTTTATACTAAGAACTTTATGGCAGAATAGCTTTAGAAAATTGTAGCTGGAAGTTTTCCTGTGTCCCGCCTGGTCTGCAGCTGCTCAGACCCAAGTAAACACACAGAGGCTTATATTAATTAAAACTGCTCAGCCATTAGCTCAGGATTACTACTGACTAGCTCTTACACTTAAACTCAGCCCATTTCTGTTAATCTATATGTCACCATATTTTCCATGGCTTTACCTGTGTGCCATTACTGCTGTTCCCTGGACAGTGGACTGATGTCTCCTGACTCAGCCTTCCTCTTCCCAAAATTCTCCTTGTCTGCTTATCCCATCTATACTTCCTGCCTGGCTACTGGCCAATCAGTATTTTATTAAACCAGTGTACAAAAGTATTATCCCACAGCATTTCCATTTTTTTGTTTAATTAAAAAGGAAGGTTTTAACTTTAACATAGTAAAATTACATGTAACAAACAGTTATCAAAAATTACAGTTACAATATTTAGTCTGTATTTGGCAAAATTAAAGAAAATATTCTATCTATCCTATATTTGTGAGTCTAAAGTTTTACATCTAATTTATCTTTTATCATAACCAAAGAAAATTATAACTATCTAGTCTTCAGCTACATCAAAGACTTCAGAAGGATACAGCATTACCTAAGTAAACAGGAAGAGCATTGTAAGCAACTTCCAAAAATCTATAATGATAGAGACAGCTGGCTGCCTGGACAGTCACCTAAAGTTCTTCTGCATTGTTGGGGCATCCATCTTCAGCCCATAGGTATAGAGTCTCTCAGTCGCTTCTCTTGGTGTCCTGTAGAATGTCTGGTAGTTTCTTCTGCAAAGCAGGAACCTGAAGGACCATTTTGCCTTGTTTTGGCAAATTTAGTGGTCACCTTCCTATGAGTCCTGCATGTCCAGTTTATACAACATTTTATCAGCAGTCCAGGCAAGAAAAGTTTCTTGCCCAAATAGCTATTTTTGCCAAGAAGAAGATAAACTCCATATGGAGTGTCTTCGATGCCCATCTTTCTCTCTGAAGTAAATTGGTCCTGCCAAAAGCAGACATGGCTCGCTGTCCAGAAAGTCTAAGTTTTTCATACATTTTAAATGCCAGATTCTGTAGGTCTTTGAAGTGTTTGAAGATTACCTATCTATCTGAAATCTATCTATGTATACCTAGAAAACTAAACTAGCATGGCTATAAGTTTGATTATCATAGATAATTAACTATTAATCTGTATTTCTTAATGATACATTACAACTTTAAATGAGTTGTATACACATGATACCTTAAACAAGAATAAAAATATACATATAGTATAACAAAATTAACATCAAATTTGTATCAATAAACTAAAATCCATAGCAGTGTAAAACACTTTTAAACGAGTTGTTGCTCTTTAAAAGTAGGTTCAACAATCCATCCTTTTATCCTATCATATCTGTATCCTGTATTTCCATATCAGAAAATCCACAGCTAGGCATTTCTCCCTAGATATTCTGTTGAGTCTCCCAAAGACCAAAACCAATTCCAGCATCATATGGAATTGAATGACTGGGGACAAAGACAAGAAAAGGATGGATTTATGCTCCTGCTCCATCCAGTGGCTGCCTCCTAAAAGCACCCACCAGACTCAATAGTGTCATCTTAGTTTCATTAGGACATTTAGTCCTCCTGTCATCTGTGGTTATGGCTGTCCTGTGGTGAAGGGCTTATCTCAACAGAATAGAAGGGAATGACCACTAAAGAACTCAGAATGCAGATATGACTAATAGGTGAATATCTTAATCAAACCTGTGGTTACTTCCTCCTCATGCAACTATGTTTCTCTTCCATAACCAACACTCTGGATGATAGCAAAAGACTATCATCCCTTTTTGAGCCTGGTTGGGAAATGATTGAGGGAGGAGACATTGATGTGGTATTTAAATAGGCTTGTGTGGCACAAATGTCTTAACAACTTGAGCTATAGAATCATAAAGGGCAGAGATGGACCTCGAATAGTATGTTAGACTTTGAACAAATGATCAAAGCCTGTTTCCTTTTCTTGTAAATGAAAATAGTGGTAATCATTATGGGTTTATTGTAAGGATGCAATAAGATAGTGTAGAATTCTTGTATGCTGCCTGGCACACAAATTATAAAAATCAACTTGTCTCCTAAATAGTCTGTGTTGTACACTGAAAGGCCCCTGAGACAGAATGAGCAGTAAGGCAAAAAAGACTGGAATGGTTCCTGGGAAACCATAAAGATTATACTAATTAGGGCTGGAGCAATGGCTCAGGCACTTAAGAACACTGGCTGCTCTTCCAGGGGACAGAATTCAATTCCCAGCACCCACATGGTAGCTCACTATAATTCCAGTCCCAAGAGATCCATGCCCTCTTCTTGTCTCCACAGGTTCTGCAGGCACATGGCACACAGGCAAATATGCAGACAAAACACCCATAGACAGAAAGTAAAAATAAATACATTCTCTTCTATCACCTCTGGTTCCTACAATCTTTCTGCCTCCTCTTCCTCATAGATCCCTGAGTCTTGAAGTGAGGGGACTAATGAAAAACATCCCATCTAGGACTGAGTGCTTCAAAGTCTCTGTTCTTTGTCCCATTGTGGGAAAATCTCAAAAAAGAAAAAGTGAAGAATGTCTTAATCACGGCTCACTTATAGATAGAGATAATTCTTAATGCTGATTTTTTTTCTCTGCAGAAAGTCCTATCAACAAAACCAGCTTTGGTTGGTTTTGTTTGTTTGTTTGTTTTGGTTTGTTTTGGTTTGGTTTGGTTTTTGTTTTGTTTTGTTTTCCCTTTGATTACCCAGCACACTCTCATGACTTTTTGAGGCTTTTCATCTAAGATGATGCTTACCTAAGTAGTCTTGGGATGATAAAAGGCTAATCTCTCTCACCATTTTCCTGTGTAACAAATACAAAGACCTGGTTGCACAAAAACATAACTTCAGGTTCTCAGGAGCTCAGAGTTAAACTGCAATGAAAACAAGGTTACAGAAAATAGCCATCAACAACCAAATTTAAACAACTTTAATGCTCTTTTTCTAATGGTTTAGTTTTACTTTATGTGCATTTATTTATGTTTTGCTTACATGTATGTCTGTGTAAGGGTATAGGGTCCCCCAGAACAGGAATAACAGACAGCTGTGAGCTGCCATGTGTGATAGGAATTCCCACCATGCCCCCAAGGTCGTGCATGCCCAGCGGGACACTTAGTCATTTCTGCCTAGTCATTTCCAGGTCATACATCCTGCATGACCCATGACCCCATGGCTGCATGGGTGTGTAAAGCATGCGACGCAACCATGTGATCTATGCGCATTCGTGGAAGAGCCACGTGGGCCTGTGCGCAGGTGCAGCTTGGCCTTTAAATGCCGGCCCCCATGTTCCCCCTCTCCCCCCCTCACACATGTGTTCTTTCAGCAGGCCTGATCACTCCTATCCTTTTCTCCTCATCTTAATAGAACTCTTGTTAGTGGATTCTGTCGTGTTTCATGACTTTTCCTCGCAGGGTAAGAATGCCGCTAAAAACCAGCAATGTAGGTACTAGGAATTGAATCCTGGTCCTCTGGAAGAGCAGCCAGTGCTCTTAACCACGGAGCTGTCTTTCCAGCCCCATAACTTTAATACTCTTAAACAATTTCAATTTATAATTCAGTCCATCACAGTTCTCAAAAGTTTAAGATTTCAGTGGGGGATGGAGTGGACTTTTAGAAATCACAAGAGAGGGATGCTTGCTACTGCTTCCTGGTTCCTCCACTGGCCTCCGGGCCTGATCCATCTTGTGCTATAATAAACAGCACTCCTGTATATTGTGACCCACAGAACCAGACCGAGGAGACTCTGGTATTCATCTGCTGAGATGAAGGACAACAGTGTTCCCATAGGACCTGGTGAGACTGTCTGCCATGCAAACTCCTCCATCCTGACCGCAGGACTCTGTACAAACCAGCCAGTACCATAGTTCTTGCTCTTTCAGCCAACCACTTTGTCCTTGTCCCAGAAAAGAAGGGCTAATGTTGCAAAGCCCTGTGCCCCTAGGAACCTTGGGAGTTCAGCTTGGTGGAAAAGGGTCATGGTCTCAACACATAGATCTTCTTCTGTGAGCTACGGAAGGTCTGGGTGCTTAACCTAATGAAACCATGAAGAAACCCTGCCTTCTGCTTCAAGTCTTTCTGAAACTCTCTTCTGTGTTTCTGTGGGAGTTCCTCGTGGCTTTACCCAGCAGGTCTGCATAGAGGATGATCAGGACCACGGGCCTGAGTGCAGGTGTCTGAGATGGTCTGCACTTGGCTGTGCTGGGGGAGGAGGTCTTTTGCTCCACCCCTTGGCGTCTCTATAAAAACCCTGGGGCTGAGACAGTCGGGGCCGTTGGAAAAGGTTCCAGGCCCTCTCGAGGCTATCCTTTATTTTCTATCTGTTTCTATCTCCGCAAGATTCTCCGTAATAAATCCTTCTATCTAATATTTCCTGCTGCTCGCACTCAAGAAAACTCTGGGGAACTGTGGGGGTGGTGAGTAAATGCCCCACATGTTTCTTGATCAAGACTCTGGATTTTAAAAGCTCAGAATTCAGTGTTTTTGTTCTCTGGTCTAATTTGATAACTTCTCCCTTAACATTAATGATAAGTCAGGGCTCTCAGCTTAACCCCAGCCTAAGAAGAAAAAAAACAAACATGAGGGAAGGGAAAGGAGCAGAGGGGAGAGGGAAACTCATGGTTTCCAGATTACTTCTAAATAAGAAATAATTCTTTTTTTTTTTTTTTTGGTTCTTTTTGGTTTTTTGAGACAGGATTTCTCTGTGTGTAGCTTTGCACCTTTCCTGGAACTCACTCTGTAGACCAGACTGGCCTCGAACTCACAGAGATCCTCCTGCCTCATCCTCCCAAGTGGTGGGATTAAAGGCGTGTGCCAGCACCGCCCAGCAAGAAATAACTCTTGAGCATCAATCACGCTATGGTCCAGTGACACCGTGTGAAAGTCATTATTTTATTTAAACTAAAGAGATCATCTTTGTTCAGAGTTCTTGTCTTATCTTTTTTCCCAATGCCCATAACCATGAAATAACAATCATGTGAGTGTTTAGCTCTTGTTCCCAAGAATACACTCTGATGTCTTGCTTTGTCAAGGGAAATTGCAGCTTGTTATACATTTTTGTCACAGCTCATGGTTGTTCAATACCAAAGACACTCAAATAAGAACCAGAATTGATAGGACAGATATTTATAGTCAAAATGAAGACTTCTAGGGCTATAGAGAGAATTCTTATGTTGGTGATAATGGCAACAGCATCCTTGGTCAACAGTGTCTGGTTGCTCAATTACATTTCAGAAACAACAGAGATTGCCATGCTTACGTACATCTGAGGACCAGGACATGAATCAAATTGGGAGTAAAGATAAATTCAAGTTATGAGGGTTATGAAAATACATATGCTATAATAGGATATCAAAATTGATATACTTTGAGCTGGAAAGATAGCTTAGCACTTAAGAGCATTTGTTGCTCTTGCAGAGAACCAGGGTTCAGTTCCCAATACCCACATCAGGGGCTTACAACCATTTGCAAGTTCCAGGAGATTCAAAAACCTTCTTCTGGCCTCATTGAGTACCTGATTATGTAGTGCACATACAGACAAGCAGGCACACACACAACTATTTTTTTTTTAATTTAATGGCCTAATAGTTTGACAATGAAGATTCCAGTTTGGGTTCAGAATTTCACAGAAAAACATCTTTGACTGGATCATAGTGTGGTCAAGTCCTTGTATTTTTCCATCAGGACAAAGAAGAGAAGGAATGAACTGAGGGAGAGTGATGCACAGGGAAGACTTGTAACCACTAAATAAATACAAGAGGATGACTTATAAATGTGTGTACATTAATTCAAATATAATAATGACACTTCAGATAATTTATATATGCTAGTTGTGAATCATCTGGAGCCTAAGCAACTTTCAGTAAATTCTGGAGCAATATCTCAACACAAATCCTTGATGGTTCCAGGCATCTCTTTTACCTAGGACTGTCATAGTACATTGATTGGTGGCTTAGAAATGGCCAAAAGATACAATATAGACTAATAAGCAAAGACAATAATCATCCCTCTACATTTTAGCAAGCAGATTAGAAATACCAAAATTCTTTCAATATGGTTTTGTGTAATGTTTTATCTAAGATATATCTACATCATTGTTTTTCTAATCTTCAAACATACAATTGATAACATATTCACCTGTACATTGGTTAAATTGGTGAAAGTATAGCATGGGTTTGGGATATTTTTGAAGATGCTCAGATGATACTAAAATACATACAAGTTTAGTGGTAGTTCATACTTGTAATCACAACAGCCAAGAAACTAATAAAGAAGAATTATCAAGACTAAGAATTCCAGGCCAGCCTTGCCTGGCAAAAAATAAATAAATAATAACAATAATAATATAAAAACAAAACTAGTAAGAGATAATTTTAATCAACAGAACATTCTATAATTTTTGTTGTTCGAAGAGCCATACCAAGGGAACTATGCAGATAATAGTTAAGTTTATTAAGACTTCCTTATGGCCAGGCATTGGTGGCATATACCTTTAATCTCAACTCTTGGGACACAGAGGCAGGCAGATCTCTGAGTTCTAGGCCAGCCTGGTCTACAGAGTGAATTCCAGAACAGCCAGGGCAACACAGAGAAACCCTGTCTCAAAAAAAAAAAGAAAGAAAGAAAGAAAAAAGAAAGAAATCTCTTATGAATAAAGCTATTCAAGTGCAGAGACAGTGACATTGAAAGATGGGCTTAAAAAGAGAAGTAGAGGCTGGAGGCCATCTTAAAGCATTATACAAGTAGTCTCAGTGGTGGATGGCATTGGCCTGTGGGTTACCAAATTAGTGATTTAGTTCATCTGTCATTGCTCTTGAGGCAGTGGGACCCGGAAGAGTGAAGCTAATAAATGAGGCAGACTCAAGTCTCATGCAACTTTATTCTAAGCATCAGACAATTTAAGGGTTAAGAAGAGTCACATGAATGAAGTTTCCAATCACAAGGCAAGCCACATGTGGCAAGCAAGCTGTATGTGGTGGGCAAGCAGAACATGACAAAAACATGCTTTTCCGTATAGGCATATACACAAATAACAATAGCCAGTTGTAATGAATATTCTGAAGTAAACTCTCTCCTGTCTGCTATACCTGGGAGAAGAAAAAACATAATCCAAGAACAATTCCATGTTTTTGAAGAAACTGAGGTCCCAGGACTCTTGGTTTCTTGGAGTTTTCTCACAAGCACTCAGAAATCTGCTCCTGTGACTCCATTCTTGGACGATGTTCCTCACTCATTAATACTCTGGATGATAATCGATAAAACCTCGTATGCATGAGCCAGTCTTAGCCAGCATGCCTTTTGTCTTTCCCGTAGATAGCAATATCCACTCTGGAAGTTTCATTGTCTTCCTTAATCATGTAAAGGCCCTATGAAAATGGGCTGGTCCAGCTCCTGCTATAGGTGCACACCTAATGAAATATGACTGATGGATCAGTAAATAACTGGATGTCAAGGAGTTCTAAGACTGGTGAATTGCCAACTGGGATCCTGCAGTTATCCTAAGGATTTCTCTCTATATCCAACACACCATCTATTCAGTACTGGGCTTGTGGATAAGAAAATAATTATCCATCTACACATCCTTTCTACGGAATAGGCTGAGCACGTGATCACGAATCTGCCTGGTCTTGACACCATAGATAATGGGATTAATCATAGGTGGGAAAAGAAGATAGAAAATTGCAAGAAGTATGTGGACATGAGGAGCAGCCCTACGAGCTACACGATGCATGACTGAGGAGATGACTACAGGCGTGTAGGTAGACAGAATAGCACCTATATGAGACACACATGTCCCAAAGGCCTTGTAGCGGGCCTCCTGAGAGGCAAGTTGGAGAACAGCACGAAGGATGAAGATGTAAGACAAGATAACAAAGAGCAGGTCCAGCACCACAATAAACATGGCCACAGCAATGCCATAGATGTTGTTGAATCGTGTGTCCCCGCATGCCAGCCTTACCACAGCCATGTGTTCACAATAGCAGTGAGCAATCACTGTCCCTCGACAGTAGTGGAAGCGTCTGAGCAGAAAGGGGAGTGGAGTCATTAATGCCACAGCCCGAGTCACAGCAGCCAGGCCAATCTTGATGATGAGGGGTTTGGTCAGAATCGTGGTGTAGTGCAGGGGTTTGCAGATGGCCACATAACGGTCAAAGGCCATGGCCAGCAGCACTGCTGACTCCATGATGGAGAAAGAATGGAGAAAAAACATCTGGATAAGACAGGCATAGAAACTGATCTCTTGGTTTCTGAGCCAAAAAATAGCAAGCATTTTGGGCAGTGTAGTAGAAGAAAGGACCAAATCTATGGTTGCCAACATAGCCAGAAAGAGGTACATGGGCTCATGGAGGGCTGAGTCTGCCCAGATAATAAAGAGAAGGGTACAGTTGCCCAGTAGGGCCAAGGTATAGGCAAAGAAGAAAGGAATGGAGATCCAGATGTGCTGGTGCTCCAAACCAGGTATTCCTACCAACAAAAAGGCCTCTGGATGGGTTTCAGTAGTATTGATGGCTGACATGACTCCTGGAAACTCTTCTTGTTGGTATTCAAATAGTCCTTCACCTTTTGTGTGTATTTTCTATGAAATACATGATAATAGAATTTTGCTACCCCAGCTGAATGGATTAGGTCCCATTTCCATTGTTAGACCTTAACCAAAGTAAGTTGATGGCTCTCGTGGAAATATGGTAATATAGCCCATGTTTCATGCCTCAAGGAACTTTGACTCTGAATAAGAGAATATTAAATATCCACAGAACTGATGTCACATGACAACCTTCATAAAGTGATAGAGAGATGGTAGTGTTTGCTGTGTTCTTGATATCAGGAATACCTTTGGATGGGGAAATAAAATATGGTAAAAATCAGTTTATTTCTTAAGATTTGTTCTTTATTTTTTAATTATATGTATGCAAGTATGTCTGTGAATGAGTATGTGAACATGAGTGCAGGTGCCTGTAAAGGCTAGAAGAGGGTGTCAGATCCTCTAGAACTGGAGTTTCAGAAGGTTATGAGCTTCCTGGTATGGGTGCTGGGACCAAGTCTGCTGTAAGAGCAGTGTATACTGCTAAGCTACCTATCTCTCCAACCCCTCGGTTCATTTCTTTAACACATCCTGTTATATATTCTTATCAAGCTAAACTTTCAAATACAAAAGTCAATTTCCTGTCCCAAAATCTCCAACTTAGGCACAAACAAAGAAGGCAAATAAGCTGTAACTTCTAATGTCCCAAAGAGTCATACACATGTATTTTCTGAAAGATTACTTGATACAGATCCCACTAGCCATATGTGGCTATTTGAATTAATAGTTGCTAAAATAAAAGCTCATTAGTCAAACAAAAACACCCAGGTGCTTGACAGCCGCCTATAACCAGTGGCTGCCATATTAGACCAGTCAGGTTAGACTGTACCCATCATCGCAGAAGATTCCGTGGGAGAGATCTGCTCTAGAATACCCTCCAGGTCCTTTCAACATAAAAAAAAAAAAAAATGTAAATTCAACTCTAACGTTAGTTTCTTGAAAAAGTACTTTTTTCTTGTTTCCTAATGACAGTTATGGTAAAGCCCTGTTCATCTGGCTGACAACAAACCATCTAAAAGTATCTAGATTCAGCCTCAGCTCTCTCAAATACCCTCTGAGTTTGAAATCTGGATTCTATTTTTATTGTATCCCTTCACAAAAATTCTCTCATTAGGAGGACACATGGCTTCCATGATATGCCACTGGCCCCTTATCTGTTTCATTCCTTTCTAGCATTCAGCAACTTTTTTCTGAACTGGCCACAAAAACTCACTCTATATTGGGCCCTGCTATATTTCTGTTTCCCATCTCTCTGTCTTCTTATTTCAGTACATTGTTTCTATCCTACCTCAAAAGAACTGTATTTTTTTTATGTCTCAAGCTTCAACTCCATATTCAGATAAGTCAGTAATTATATGCATAAATTGAATGAAATGTGTCTTCTTACTTAATGGATTAAGAAAAAGTCCATGACTTAAAAAGTCCACAACAAACTCGTTCCTTAGTAGAAAATTGTAAAAGGTTTTAAAACAATAAAAACAGCCGGGCGGTGGTGGCGCACGCCTTTAATCCCAGCACTTGGGAGGCAGAGCCAGGCGGATCTCTGTGAGTTCGAGGCCAGCCTGGTCTCCAAAGCGAGTTCCAGGAAAGGCACAAAGCTACACAGAGAAACCCTGTCTCAAAAAACCATAAAAAAAATAAAAAAAATAAAAAAAAACAATAAAAACATAGTTGTTACCACAGTCATACTATGTAATTTTATTTTTTTAAAGCCAGGCATAGTGGCACATACCTGTAATTTCAGTACTCAAGAAGGTGAGGCAGGAAGAACATAAGTTCAAAGCCAACCTGGTATATGTTGTCAGATCCTATCTGAACCTAAATAAAAACATAGATAGATAGATAGATAGATAGATAGATAGATAGATAGATAGATGGATAGAGGGATAGAGGGGGTAGAGGGGGATAGAGGGGGATAGAGAGGGATAGAGAGGGATAGAGAGGGATAGAGGGATGGATAGATAGAGGGATGGATAGATAGAGGGATAGAGGGATGGATAGATAGAGGGATGGATAGATAGAGGGATGGATAGCTAGAGGGATAGAGAGGGGGAAATGGATAGATAGATAGATAGATAGATAGATAGATAGATAGATAGATAGATAGGAAGATATAGAATCCTAAAACAGATGGAGAAAGGAAACAAATGTTGTAGTGCTAGAGATTAAACCCAGGGCTTTTCACGTAGTAAGCAAGTACTCCTGAACTACGTCCATTCCTAGACCCAGCGATTTTTTTTAAATTTTTTATTTTGCAGTACAATTCAGTTCTACATATCAGCCACGGATTCCCTTGTTCTCTCCCCTCCAGCCCCCCTCATCTTCCCCCCAGCCCACCCCCCATTCCCACCTCCTCCAGGGCAAAGCCTCCCCCGAGGACTGAGATCAACCTGGTAGACTCAGTCCAGGCAGATCCAGTCCCCTCCTCCCAGGCCGAGCCAAGCGACCCTGCATAGGCCCCAGGTTTCAAACAGCCAACTCATGCAATGAGCACAGGACCCGGTCCCACTGCTTGGGTGCCTCCCAAACAGATCAAGCCAATCAACTGTCTCACCCATTCAGAGGGCCTGATCCAGTTGGGGACCTCTCAGCCATTGGTTCATAGTTCATGTGTTTCCATTCGTTTGGCTATTTGTCCCTGTGCTTAATCCAACCTTGGTCTCAACAATTCTCACTCATATAAACCCTCCTCTTTCTTGCTAATTGGAATTCCAACCTAAGGAAGTCAGATACACCCTCAAAAACACAGGCAATAGATAAAGCCACAGCAGTAAACCCCAACAAAGAGAAGTACACACACATTACCACCAAAAAAATAACAGGAATGAACAATCACTGGTCATTAATATCCCTCAATATCAATGGACTTAATTCACCTATAAAAAGACATAGGCTTACAGAATGGATACGAAAGCAGGACCCAGCAATTTTAAATGAAGAAATCATAGTCGGCTTCACTGAAAAAAGATTTTGAGCAAGGAGTCATAACTGAGAAAACACGGTAGTTTGGTTTCCTTACAAGGCAAAATGTAGTATGCCATGCAGGCAGTTTATATTAACCACTGAACAAGAATGAAAAGAAAGAGTAAAATAGGGGGAATTAATGCAAAGATGCATTTCCAAACTGGAGAATACTGTCACTATTGTATCATATACTATCTGAAGAACCACATAGAAGGAACCTCAGGATTGTTCCTTGTAGACTTAAAACGGGAAATGTTGCTTTTGGAAACATCCTGCACCATTGCCCTTTCTGGGATTCTACAGCTTTACCTCTGATTTTCCTACCACATGCATTGGCTTCCGCTCATTGCTGCAACACACAGTCAGGGATTTATCCAAAGAGTGTTGACTTCCTGTTTCTAGGTTCACAGAGACACCGGAATAGTTGAGCATTCTCTCTCAGGGCAAGATGCAGCTGAGTAAAGCGGTGGCTTTTTCCATTAGTTTCCACAGCAATGGCTAAAACAGAAAACATGACATGAGAGGGTGTGAGACAGGCATGAGAGATACAGGAGAGATAGAATTATCCCTGATAGAAGAATATTCTAAAAGATAGCCAGAGAAAATGCCTTAAGGTTTATATATGACTACTGTTCAAATGTTGGCTAGGTAGCCAGTGTGGCCAAGATGAAGTGAAAGAGCAGAAGAACTGCTGAGGGCAGATGGGGGCTCCAAATCATACAAATCCAAGTCATCATAGAACTTTATAGAACTTTGGGGGAAAAATTTTTTTTCTCTTTGGTTTAAACAGAGAAAAGACATAATTTGAATTCTTTATACATTTTTTTTTGTCTGCATGTATGTCTGTGTGAGGGTGTTGGATCTTCTGGAACTGGAGTTACAGACAGTTGTGAGCTGGGAATTGAGCCATTTGGGTGCTGGGAATTGAACCTAAAACCCAGGTCCTTTGAAAGAGCAGTCAGTGCTCTTAACCACTTAGCCATCTCTCCAGCCCCAAAATATTTGAATTCTTAAAACCTCTTAAAAGTTTACTCTGGTATCTTTGATAAGATTAAAAAAAAATTTAAAAAAAAATACCAGAAACTGCCAGAGGTAAAAACATGGAGACACTTACTAAGGCTTCTTCAGTAATCCAAAGAAGGAAAGAATTTGGCTCAGAATCAAGATGGTGGTGAGTACAGTGAGACGTAATCGGATTGGGGGCTTATTTTGAAAGTGCTGTGGAGCTGTTTCAGCAGATTAAATACAGGCTTTGTCAGAAGTTGAAGTCTGACATGTCAAGACTTTTGGCATAAGTGACCAAAAGGAAGACGTTACTCTGTTGAAATGAGGAAAGTTTTGGAGGAGGAGATCAAGATTTCATCTTTCAAAGTAGAGCATGTAAAATGTCTCATGAGAAGTCTAAGTGAATGTTGATCTGTTTGATATGATTTTGAATTTGAAGGGGAAATTTTGGTTGTTGATAGAGGCTTAGGGTCATTGGAAAACAGATAGTACCTGAAGGCATGAAAGTAGTTCATCTCAAAGATGGACCATGTGTTCATAGGAAGAGGAAAAACTCAGGTGTGACTCTTAACATTTAGAACTGAGATGACGATCAACCAAGGAGACTGGGTGGGTAACTATTAAAGACAAAGTGTCTGGAATCTGTGCTGCCTTGACAGCCTATTCAGCATCATATACTAAGAAAGAGGAATAACCACAATGTGTTAGCGTTATTAACGAAGCAAATCATCTGAAAACCACATTGCCCTTGTACTTACAGATTCAGGGGACTGGACAACTGAATAAAATGATGTTGGTGAACAGTACCATGTGGGGTCTAGTTTAAATGAGTTTGAGAAAAGGAGGATTTGAAGTCTAATGACAGTCTCCCTCATATAAAGTGTTTTGCTGTGGAAGCCAACAGTGAATGGATCTCTAGATTCAGTGAGGGGTAAGGTCAAGAAGTTTTTGTGTTCATTTGTTTCTGAAGAGAAATTTCGAGGTGCAGGGAAGAACTGTCTCTTTGTTTCATAAATTTTTTTCAGGATCTTAGAGTCTCTGCCTTGGTTTACAAAGTAACACAGAGCTGAGACCCAACTATCACAATGACTGGCCAGATTTTGTCAGGTGTACCTCCTGTTTAAAATGGGGAGGGAGTGTTTGGGTGGGTGCAGGTCCAAGGGCCTGGGTGAAAAGGAGAGCTTGGGTTTTAAAATGAAAAAAAGCCTGAGAGTTTCTACAGGGTTCACTGTGAAGTGCCTACTTTACAATAAAGCTCTTGGCTTAATTAGTATATTCAAAAAATAAAAACAATAAAAAATAAAAAGAGAAATGAGGGGACCAGTGAGATGGGTCAGCAGATGAATGTGCTTGCCACCAAGCTTGATGGCCTGAGTTCAACCCATGGAACACACGTGATGGAAGGAAAGAACTGAAAGAGAAGGAAGAACAGAAAGAGGAGAGGGGCACAGAAGGAAGAAAGGAAGGAGCGAAGGAAGGGTATAGATGTAAAAAAAAATTCACAAACTGGACATGATGGTTGCACACATTTGTAATGCAAATACTCCAGAGGCTGAGGCAGGAGAAATACAAGTTTGAGGCCAGCCTGTGTGACATAGTGAGACTGTCTGAAAAAAGAGTGGTGGAGATTTTACAACACATTTTAAATACAGAAGGAATTAAGAAAATATAGGAAATGTTGCTTCAAAGGCACCCTGGATCATTGTCCTCTTTCAAGGTATTCTACTCATACACCAGGGATTCCAGCAGCACATCCTAAAACCTCAAATACTAACTTACATGTCTCATTTTCCCTCCATGGAAATGTTTATGCAGAAACCTTAAACTTCTTCTAAGTGGCTCTGAAATACAAAAGTTTATATCCTGTATGGCCAGTTGCCCCTCCTAGAATCAGTTCATCTGTTGCTTTCCCTTCCTTCCTACACTATTCAGTTCATGAGCAAGTACCATCAGAGCAGCCTTCATAGTTTAATAAAATACCTGTTTCAATCCTTACCCTTCTCCAAGAGCCCATAATCTCTGAATCGCTGCTCTGAGAGAATACAGACAGTGTACAAAGCTCTACTTTTGTGACTGATCATCTACCCCTATCACGAACCTCAATATCCTATGAACTGAGAGGACCAGAGTCAGGGACTGTGCCTCGTCTACATCTACAACTCCAGCCTCTAAAATACATAATCTGTGTTGAACATTTCACTGAAGGAAGTATGACTGCAGGGTGCTAAAAATCTGCTTTCTGGCTTCTTTTTTAACACTCCCTCTCCATCTGACCCAAGCTCGGGTTGGTTACTTCTGCTTTAAACACTTACAGGTTAGAAATTCTAAGAAATACTCCTCAGTCTTAGTTTCCTACAGCAGATTAAATTGTCATCAGATGAGCTTTTTCCTAAATGTTAGTAGTATTTGTATTTCTTAACCAAGAGCAAACACTTAGCTTTGTAGTAAGTGATCTCTATGATTACTAGGCCTTTTTTTTTGACAAATGTATCTTCAGTGCCGAAAACAGTGCCTGATATGTAACAGACCCCTAGATGATTGTAGAATTATCTCAACTACATGCTATACATTTACCATCCATAAATGTTTCTCCTAGGGGCTGGAGAGATGGCTCAGAGGTTAAGAGCACTGACTGCTCTTCCAGAGGTCCTGAGTTCAATTCCCAGCACCCACATGGTGGCTCACTACCATCTGTAATGAGATCTGGCACCCTCTCCTGTATACATAATAAATAAATAAATCTTAAAAAAAAAAAAAAAAAAAAAAAAAAAAATGTTTCTCCTAAATCTAAACATGATTAATTTTGTCTACATCTCCCTGAATTTCTGTGTATGCTTGAGCATTGCTGTCTACATTGTGACCCACCCACCCACCCATCTTTATGCCAAGACAAAGATACCTAACTTCGTCTTCCAAGCACAGGCTAGCCAATGATCCCTGTGCTTTATTTCTTTGGAGGTTCACCCCAAATCTGCTTCATCCAGAAGGTTGGAGTCAGAACAGGACTGTGAATGGAACCAGTCTTCAAGTAAAACCTCAGTACTCCAAAGTCAGTGTCTTATCTACTATATGCCAAAGTGCTCACACTGGACTCAGAACTTATCTTCCTTGTCATTGTCTCTTCTAAAAATGCTCAAAGAGGGTATGTATATCTAGAAAATGCTCGTATAAAACTACTAATTGACACCATGCATTTTTAACAAGATTAAGAGACCAATGGTGGGTTCGAAAGA